TGTGTGTGTGTGTGTGTGTGTGCATGTATGTGTGTGTATGTGTGTATGTGTTTGTGTGTACGTGTATGTGTGTTCTAAAATCACGTATCTGTCGCCTGTTTATCATATATTTTTATCCTGCAACACATGCTGCCACAATACAGTTGAAGGTAACCACGTAACATTTCTCTTTGTTTCTTACTCCTATTATTAATTAACGTAAATGTCATTTCATTTGTCCCTTCCTACTTTCATTTATTTCAAAATCCTGTTCATTGTTCTGTTATCAAATTTTTATCAAAGCCGTACTCATTCATTCAGCCTGGAGCTAATCGTCATATTTGCTCATTCATTAGCTCTTTGCCAAAAATCATTCATCCAACCATTTTTGTTTTCCAATCACTGTTACGGCTACAGGACAGATACCTCATATGATGGTACCGGGGTTCAACGGTATGCCACAGCAAAACGGAATCTGGAACCAGGGAGGAAACCCATACAGGTAACAATAAATGACTTCTGATCTTGGTCACGATAGCTCTTTCACTTTCGTCTGACCTCATTTAAAATAAGATAAAATAAAATCGTTCGATTTGCATACGGGTCTAAATGTTGGATGATCAACAGAATCTAAAAGCACATTCATAAAAGGTTCCGACGTGTTTTTAAAAATGTAAGTCTATAGCGGGTTAAATAAATTATAAGGGATTTACATAATACACCTAAAGCATAAAAAGTTGACACATTTTCCTCAACACCGCAATTTCATGTACACCCAAGAAACGCGATTCAAGAGACGGAGTGAGTAGTTATTGAGACCCACGTGGGGCACGTGCAGACGTCTGAACAGTGGAAGGATGAAATCTACAAGCTTACACACTGAAATGTGGTGGTAGGGTGGTGTTTGGTCGCTGGTCTGCAGAAGTGCCATGCACAGTTTCGTGGGCACAGGCAAATGAGAAATTTTTTTTTTTTTACCGCCGTCAGACGAAAGTGAAAGAGCTATAATATTCACTCCTTGTATGGCTTTCAGTTTTTGTGCTGGTTAGGTAATAATTCCCTTTGAGCTGGAGAATTTGCAAAAGCAACGAGTGGAGTTTTGTTCAGTGATTGACATTTTGACAGGGGCGGCTCGTGAGTCTAAAAAGTGGGCTTGCACAATTAACTTAAAGCAGGTTGAAGATAGTCATGGTAAATGAGATTTATTCTGCATCCTATCTGTTTAGAGAAAATCTAATATGCCCGAACAAGCGTGCTTTAAAACAAGATTCAACTGAAGCGCATTGCAATGAACAAAGACAGCATAAGGGAAAAATTGGCGCATCTGAGTCTGTACACCAGAGACTCCCGCTCATCACAGATGCCCCATCGCAAAATTGAGCAATCAGCTTCTCCTTGACGCTGAATGGTCCTAAAGCTTCTTTAAGGAATGGAACAAGCCGAATGAAATTCTGCCTTTTGCTTTTTAAAACGTTAGAAACCGCTCTACCGGTTTTCCGTCCTTAATATATCTTAGACTGACCACAGACTGTGACAAATAACTTGCATCAGTTGCTTCTTCAGCCTGAACAGAAAAAAAGTTACCGGAGTGTATGTCTTTAATCAGTTATTTTGATAATACAGTTGGCAGTTGGCTTTGTAATATTTTAGGAGGATATTTTGCTACAGTAGCGCCTTTCAGGTGAACAATGAGTATCCTGTCAGTGTTACCGTCTCTGTGCTGTAAATCAAGAAAGATACCTTAGCTGTTCCCCAACACATCACCTTTTACATGGCCTCGAAGGGCGAGTTCGTAAGTTCCACAAAACAAAATACATTCCATAACCTTACACAATACGTGCCTCTTCTTTCTCACCCGTTCGTTATAGGCCTAGTGAGACGCTGTAATGTGATGACCAACGTCTAGCTGCGCTACGATGTCTACATTTTTAGGGTTTATTCAAATAAAAGAACGAGCAGTCATTTTTTGTGTGCACTATTTTGAGTTAGATCTATGCCATTTGTGCTTTTACTTCACTTTTGAATTTGTTTCCCCACACTGTATCTGATCTAATGTAATAAAATGACAACAGTCCTGAGTAAACTGAATAGAAATAACGGGCATCATTTATTGCAATAATTTTCTCAAAATTGGAGAAAAAAAATTAATTTGACTATTCCCATTCTTTCTTTGGAGTCCTTTATTATTAAGCTTAACTTGGTGAAGTTTTAAATCTTGCTAAACGCAAAGTGGATGATTTCAAAGGTAGAACACTAGCTGTCGCCATAACAATAATAAGACAGGGAGATTAAGTTGCGGAAAGGAGAAGAACATAACGGTGTCTGTGTTTTAGTGGTTAGACTTCCACCGTGGCTTTTAGAAGGCGAGAGTTTGATTCCCAATTGTGGGGGAGCGGGGATGGGGAGAGGTGAGGTATTTATCTGATTATCAGCTGGAATATTCTGTCTCTCTCTCAGCATGGTCTCTTCATTGGTTGGCCTTAAGAGGCATTTTGAAACGGCCTATCTCTTTAAAATAAAATGGTCTAAACTATATCGAGTCCCCCCC